CTTGCTAGACCGAAACATTTGAGCACACAAACGCAAAACTTCAAGTCAGTTCTCCCACCATATCAAAAAAATCATGATGAGAATCTTGATATTTCTGAAACTCATCCTTTCTCAACAAATGTGACTACATTCATTGAAGAAATTGAAGGGGATGATGTGCATGCTATTCACATAGACCATGAAGAAGGAATATGGGAGGACTAGTAAGATTTTTTGTATAAGTTAATTCCACGTTACTTTATTTTCTAATTGTTTTTATTTTGTACTTAATTTTATTTCTAATTGTTTTTATTTTGTGCTTAATTTTATTTCTAATTGTTTTTATTTTGTGCTTAATATTATTTCTAATTATTTTTGTTTTGTGTAAACAGATACATGAGTGATTCAAACCCCAATAAAAGAAGAGTTAGAGGTCCCACTTTAATGACACAAATTGATAAAGTTCATCAAACAGGTGAAAAGATAAAGGTCGAGTTTAATGCAAGAACCTATGAATGTATTGGTGTTGGTAAAATGCTACACATTTCAAGAGTTATATAGTATCTCTTGCTCGGCAGTATTGTAGTATTGTGAAAAATGATTGGAAAGAAGTAGATGAAGGCGTAAAAGATGTTATTTGGACTGATATTCAGGTATTTTAAATACAATACTTTATTATATTTTATAATCATATACTAATTAACAACATATGACATATACTATATTTGTAGGCTCATTTTACTATTCCAGAATGTAAAGATCTAAAGAAGGATAGGTTGAAGAAAGAATGGATTAAATATGCGAGAGAGCGATGGAGAGGTTTTAAGACACAACTCACAAATAGATATATTCATCATCCCATAGAAAATGATCCTCCTCCATATGTCAAGTATAACTTTATTACGGAAGACGCAAGGAAAGAGTTTCTCAAGATTCGAGATACCCCTGAATTTAAGGTTAGTAGGAGTTATATGTTTTTGTGTGCATAACATTTTTATTATATTTAGTGATTAATTACTTGTTTGAGTTTATAATAGGAAAAAAGTCATAAGGGTAAGGATAATGTGGCCAAGAATGTATACCCACACGTATTGTCTCGTGGAGGGTATCGCTTGCTTAAGGAGAAAATTATGAAATAAAAGTCATCATCGAGAGATAATTCTACATTAGATGATAATGATAGTCCATCTACACCGTCACGCCATGAGTTATGGAAGAGAGCACGACAAAAAAAAGGAGGAGAATACACATCAAAATCTACACAAGAGGTTGCTGAAAAAATTGTAAGTAAACAACGAAAAATTATTCAAGTATCATTATATTTGTGATTGATTAATTGATGTTTTTGCATTTTGTAGGATTCTCTAGTTCAAGAAGCTGAAAAAGGTGCAATTGTTCCGGATGGACGTAACGATATCTTATCATTAGCCATTGGAACATCTGAGCATGGAGGTCGTGTTCGTGGTGTTGGAAAACACCATAAACAAAGCACTTACTTTGGAAGATCACGTCAACATATTGACGTAAATGAACAACTTGCAATATTGGAAACAAAACTTAGAGCTGAACTTGAAGAAAAGTTGGTTGAAGAGCGTAAGATGTTTCAACAATCATTAATGGAGACACTTAAGTGTATGGGTTTATCACAAAGCATAGGTGATAATAAATGCATTGAAAAATTGGAAATTATCGATGGAAGCGGAAAAGGAAGTTGTTCAGCTGCAAAAGAAAACACAAAAGAGAACACAAAAGACGTGGAAGTTGATGATGTTCAAAGATTGTTACTCATGGTTTTGAAAATGGATGATAACCATTTGGCAATATAATTAAGTCATTGTGCGAGTGTCTCTAATTTTTATGTTTCATCTAAATGTATCAGAGAGTTATTGGTGGATTTAGGTCATTGGCTTGACGTGTCTATTCTGCAAATTTGGTGCACGTAAGTACATTTTATTGTTTTATTAAAGTTAATCTCTATTAATATGTTATATCTCTCATCACATTCTAATGTTTATTTTAAAATTATTCAGGCATATTCATCGTGTATGTCTTGAGAATTCCATTTCAGAATTATATGGATTTATGGACCCTGCTAGGTGTATTTATAATGATAATGTAGCGAAATCTCAAGAAGATGTTAAAAATTACGTACTAGAAAAGTTACGTGATGAAAACAGAGTGTGTCACTTACTACCATTAATTCATGGGTAAGAATTTTTATGAAATTGTGTTTTATATTATTTAATTTTGATAACATATATATTTTATGTGACTTTTCTGTTTCCACACACACGTATAGGAGACATTGGCAATTAACAGTCATGTGTCCAAGAGACAATTTAGTTGTCGTATTTTATTCACTTCATCGGGAAATTGACCATCACACGAAGAAAATTATTACAAAGTAAGTTTATCTTTCATGTGACTTTCATTGACAACTAATAGTTATATGATTTTTCATTGGCGAGTAAATTTAGTTATGTGATGTTTATCTTTCTGTATTAGTTCTTTTGGGATTCATCAAATGGCAAATGGAAATAGAAAAAAGGCTACATGGCTTCATCCCAATGTAAGTGTGATGTAAATTGTAATTCTATAGTTAAATTTATGATAAATATTCACTAATTATGTCATTCAATTGTAGACAAGGCAACAACATAACTCTAATGATTGTGGATACTATGTGATGAAAATATGTTGGATATTGTCTCTGCTAATATAACCGAGAATTGGATGCAGGTACTAAAAATAACTTTACTTTGTTATTTACTTTTTGTTTTTCGACTTAATATGAATTTTTTAAAAATAACTATATACTGTTATATTTATGTATTATAGGTATTTGATGACCCAACAGAATTAACACTAGATGATTTGTATGATTTACGACTCCGTTGGGCAAAATGTTTCTTTGAGTTACATGAAAATTAAGTTTATCTTGATGAGTTTTATAGAATTGTCTAAGTTGTGGTTTTTGCACATAATTGTTATTATTGAGTTTTTGCACAATACATGTGATTTTTGCACATGTATTGAGTTTCTTGATTTTTTTTTTGCTGATGTTAATTGTTATTATTTATTGTCAGGCAATGTGATTTTGGTGTTGTCTACCGAAGATTTTATATTGGTAATTCAAGTTTGGAAACTTAGAAATAGTTGAATATTTTTGTATATTTTGTGAATAATATGTAATTGTAAGTTTTGAAAAAGACTTATAAATAGTTGAATATTTTTGTATATTTTGTGAAGAATTTGTAATTGTAAGTTTGTTGTGAGTTTGTTTGTTGTAATACAATACAATTGTTCAATTTGTATGTTTGTTGTGAAAAATATGAAAACATCGACCTAGATGTGGTCTATGTGATGTTGGAAAGCTATGAAATCTATATAGCGACATAAATATAGTCTGTGTGATATTGGAAAAATATGAAAAAATGGGTACAAATTATTTTTGTACAGGGACACATCCAGAAAATAAATAATCTATTCTCTAAAAATTTCATACATTTTACATCGGTTATTACTCAAAACTGATGTAAAAATTTTCAAAAGGGGACTTTTTACATCGGTTATTACTCCCAACCGAGGTAAAAAGTTGCGTCACTAGGGACTTTTTACATCGGTTATTACTTCCAACGAATGTAAAAAATTGGATCATTTTTTTTAAAATATTGTCATAATTGTTTCTTACATCATTCTTATATTATAACCGATGTAAAAAAAGACTATTTACATCGGTTATTACTTCCAATCGATGTAAAAAATTGGATCAACTTTTTAAAAATATTGTCATAATTGTTTCTTACATCATTTTTATATTATAACCGATGTAAAAAAAAGACTTTTTACATCGGTCCCAGAACCGATGTAAAAAATACCTGATTTACTATATCGCCTGACTTTACATCGGACTCAGAATCGATGTAAAAAGTCAGTTTCACCTGATGTAAAAAGTTATTTCTGCACTAGTGTCTCATTTGTTTGGGTGATGATCTTTAGGTGAATGTTTGGTCGAATGTGAATGTTTCTCCCTCAACGATAACCCATCAATTATGGCCAACACATAAATTGTTAGTGTGCAAACCGGCCTTATCCGAGCTATATAGTTGAATTTGGGATGTACATACCAACCAGGATCCCGGATGTGGGAAACATATGTTTTCTAGCTGAAATACAAGGGTCGGAATATATCCCGAATAAGGAGGTATACCGGCCTCAAATTCAATAATCTCAATCCAAATGCCTCGATCCGACTACTCATCAATATCGAAAATTATCTTAGACACATGGATAAAAATGTGGGGTACACGCTTTTTTCATCTTCATTTGTTGAACATATCAGTAAAGAGTTGGTGAAGAGACGATATTTAATGAATGAATAGGAATATGTCTTTCTTCATATAGTTAATGTCACATTTTTATCCTCCGATAGCCCCCTTTTACAATACATTTGATGATCCTACAATCAGGTTGTGCTTCCTCACATGTTTCCCTAACAACATTTACTTCGCAATGGACGCAAAGAGTTAAAAATGTTTCATGAATCATAGTTTTGTTGCAATCCTTTAATATATATATAATTTCTTTGTTGAATTTAGTCATGATAACCTTCAGGCTATCCAGGTATGGTTGCATGAGTATGTTTTACTAGTATTATTTTAGGAACAAAAATAGTAATTGTTCAAAATATTGGATATCCACCAAATATTGATAGTAGTAGTAGTAAGTGCATGCATGGATGTCTACTAATTTGTTTACACGTAACACTTCCATCAACCAAACAGTGACTTTGTAAAAGGCCAAAAAAATTCCTAACCACCTTTCCTAAATCCCATCCATTCCTTACATATATAAACACCAATTATCTCTCCTTAATCTTCAAACCAAACCAAAACTTGCTTAAAGTTCCCCAAACAACACACATTCACACAAACCGAACAACAATAATTTTAGTATATAACACATAAGCTCATTTCTATAGTCAAAAAGAAGAAAAAAAAACCTAAACAAACTTCATTACTATGATATCTTTTGTCAAGAACATGATGATGGAAATGGATACAAACACATTTACACTCTTGTTCACTCTAGCAGCTTCCCTCTTTGCATACTTATTCTGGTTCCACTTACTAGCACGAAACTTAACCGGTCCTAAAGTTTTCCCATTTCTCGGCAGCCTCCCAGTTCTCTTCCTAAACCGAAACCGGGTTCACGACTGGATAACCTCAAACCTAAACCAAACCGGGGGTTCATCCACTTATCAAACATGCATCCTCCCTTTCCCTTTCTTGGCAAGCAAACAAGGCTTCTACACAGTCACAAGCAACCCAAAAAACATCGAACACATCCTCCGAACCCGGTTCGATAATTACCCAAAAGGACCCACATGGCAAACCGCTTTCCACGATCTTTTAGGACACGGAATCTTCAACAGCGACGGCGACACGTGGCTGGTTCAACGCAAAACCGCTGCTTTAGAATTCACCACAAGAACCCTTCGTCAAGCCATGGCTCGTTGGGTGAACCGAACCATTAAAAACCGATTATGGTGTATTTTAGACAAAGCCGCTAAAGAAAAAGTTAGTGTTGATTTGCAAGACCTTCTTTTACGGTTAACTTTTGATAACATTTGTGGACTCACTTTCGGTAAAGATCCGGAAACTCTCTCACCGGAACTACCCGATAACCCGTTTTCTCTTTCATTTGATTCGGCAACTGAAGCTACATTGCAAAGACTACTTTACCCCGGACTCTTCTGGAGGTTCCAGAAGCTTTTATCTATTGGTGCTGAGAAAAAACTGAAACAGAGTTTGAAAATTGTTGAAACTTACATGAACGACGCCGTTTCAGCTCGTGAGAAATCTCCTTCCGATGATCTTCTCTCACGGTTTCTTAAAAAGCGCGACGGCGATGGAAAACCGTTTGACGCCGGGAAACTGAGACATATAGCGTTGAATTTTGTTCTCGCCGGGAGAGATACTTCATCGGTTGCTTTGAGCTGGTTTTTCTGGCTTGTCATGAATCATCCAAACGTGGAGGAGAGGATTGTATCTGAGTTGATAGATGTTTTGGCTGAAACTCGAGGTAGAGATCGTCGTCGTTGGACTGATGAGGCGGTGGATTTTGAAGAAGCTGATAAGCTTGTTTATCTGAAAGCAGCGTTGGCGGAGACGCTGAGGCTGTATCCTTCTGTGCCGGAGGATTCTAAATATGCGGTGGAGGACGATGTTTTACCGGACGGAAGTTTGGTTCCGGCGGGATCGACGGTGACGTATTCGATATATTCCGTAGGGAGGATGAAGAGTGTGTGGGGTGAAGACTGCATGGAGTTTAAACCGGAGAGGTGGTTATCGGTTCAGGGGAACCGGTTCGAACCGCCGAAAGATGGGTATAAGTTTGTGGCTTTTAATGCTGGACCGAGGACTTGTTTGGGGAAGGATTTGGCTTATCTTCAGATGAAATCTGTTGCTGCTGCTGTGTTGATTCGTTACCGGCTTTTACCGGTTCCCGGTCATCGGGTTCAGCAGAAGATGTCTCTTACGCTTTTCATGAAGTATGGGTTACGTGTGTTCTTGGTTCCACGTCAGCTTCAGGAGCCCGAATCTGTTGTGGCTCATTGATTCGGTCGTACGGTGTACAAAGGGCAATGTGGTCACTTAATTACTATATGTATATTTCAGTTTGTTTGTGGTACCTTTGTTGTTAAATTATTATTAATATTTACTGTTGCTATTGGGAATTGGGATAGTGTGTTTGTTTCTAGTTGGTTGATTTCAGTTGAGTCATGGGTGGGTCAAATTTGAGTTTACAATTTGCTGAAGAAAAAGGTGTCATTTGGTTTTTATGTTTCATACAAGGTTCTGTTTATAGGACTTTCAATATTCATATTGTTCATCAATAATTGTAATACATTAATTCATACAACATATAATCTATTAAATCACTCTCTTAGTTTCTATTTGAAGGTGATATTACTTCCTAGTCTCTACATATAAGATCTTTTTATGAGAGACTTTTTTATTTTATATAATAAGATTCTCTTTTTATTTGCATTAATTATATTGTATACATATAGTATTTATTATATATTTTCTCTACAATTTAAAAATATTAAAAGACTAATAAATTTATGCTTTTTTAGAAGATAATTTTATAAAAAAATAATATTAATTATTATCAAATTTATTTATTGTTTACTAAAAAAATAATGATAAAAATTTAAAGGGTAAAAATAATAAATACATGTGATGATAAATTTCAAAATATTTTTTTGATGTTGATCTTTCAAATATTCTATTTGATGAAGTTTCTTTAATATTTTTATTGGATGATGATTTTTTAGTAGTGGTGTTGATCTTTTAATTTCATCTTTGAGTATTCCTCTTGATGAAGTCGACGATGATGAGGAAGTTGAAGATCTTTCTTCTTCTTCCTTGAATAACTGAATCAATTTCTTGAGTTTCTTGATGATCTCTTTCTTTCAAGATTCTTCTTGAAACCCAATAAAGACACCACTATCTTTTGAATTGAGGATTGAATCATATTTCTGATGCGAACTCTTAATTCTTAGATAGTCGTTAGATATAAAATTTCTAACATAACCTCTCAGGGTTCCAATGATTGAGTATCATTTATGAGGATGATTATCATATTTATTTGGTATTTTAATTTCTTAGATTTGTGTGTTCATTCATTCTTTTTTGATCTTGGGAGAAACTCCACAGAGCATATTAAAAGTGTCTTACACTTCCTTAGTGGAATCACAATAAAAAATATATAAAAAATTTAGATGTTTGGCTTTAAAGTTGGGTTTTGTTTTTCTCTTATCTTCTTCGGTCTAATGAAAATCGAGTTCATTTTACTACTTTATCATCAAAGCAAAAAGTAGAAATAAACGGACCATTGATTATAAAATATCACATTTCAAAATCATTTGCTATTCAAATCTTTCACCATCAAAGGATGGAGGTGTATTCATGAAAAGTCCTTTGTTAAAAACATAAGTATTTGCAGTCATCATACTATCTCTTGAGACAATTAGTCTTATAACATGATTTAGATTATGATGCAATTTGTTGGACAAGTGCTCCAAACACAAGATGAGGCTGAATTGTATTGCATTGAAAAACAATACTCAATTAACAAATCTTTAGTAAAATAATTTGATTAAACAATTTTGAAAAGAGTAAGAAGTGAAATAAATAAATAGTATAAAATCAGAGTAGAAAACATATTTGAACACAAAAGAAATAAGAAAACAATGGAAATAAAGAGAGATAAGGGATAAGAACATTTCACTACATATTTATATAGGTTTATTCTAACCACTTCATACGTCATCTTTCCAAGAATTTTTCTTGAGAGTTTCACTATATGTGTGAGTTTTTCACAAGTTATGCCCACGAACCGTCTTACAATTAAACTTGGAATTTTACACTAGCTATCCTCCAAACAAAATACAATATTTTATTTCCGGCTAATCTCAAACAAGATGAGAGCTTTTATACCAAGTGCATCTCATAAATCAAACAAAGATTTTAATAGAAAATCTCACAAAACAAATGAGAGTTTGTATACCATGTGAAGCTCACAAATTAAACATAGCTTTTGATGTACAAACTAACAAATCAAAGAGAGATTTTACTAGTTAAGCTCACAAACTAAATAGATACTTCTCTCAAAGATATTCTACAAGAGATAAATTTTTTTGTGTACAAATTACAATATTTCCTATACACCAGAATACACAAAAAGGAAGCACCACAACAACTAATGTCCTAATCAATTAAGAATACTCATAATCGATGAAAGCTTTAAACCATGCTCTAATTGATTGGATAAGAGCCTTAATCGATTAAGAGGTGTATATAAGCCTCTTAAATGTTTAGGAACACCCTTTATCAATTTCACAAGTTCCTTGATGGTTCCTGTAAGGATTTTAAGGAGTTTTATAAAATAGGATTTTTACTTTTTGTGAGTGTGTGCATTGTCTTAGTAGTTAGGGAACTACTCTAATATATTTAAAAGACTTTGATCACTCAGAAACAGACCGTACGAGCTTTCACAATTCATGTCTTTAATAACTATGAAGATTTAAGATCTCTTTCCTTGATACATCAATGATCCAACACTTTAATTTAGACTTGATTTCACTTATATCTTGTGAAGCTTGATAGGATTCTTGATAAATACCTTCATCAAAGAGATTGCTTGGTCAAAGATCTTCAATCATTTTGGCGACCGCCTCTTGACATTTGGTGTTATCCTAAGGAGATTGACTTTCATATCTTGATCTCCCAAGTGTAATAACTTGATCATCACTTCATATAGTTTTCATCATCAAAACCATATAGATCAACTAATTTCTACAGTCATTATACATGCAAGCACATGAATCCCCAAGTTGGAACTTTATAAGATGATTGTGTTTAGTATGACTTCAGTATGATTGGTAACTTCCTAGTTTGGTGACATGTCAGACAAGATGGGGTAATGCAAAACACTCTAACTACCAAGTTAGTTTTTTTACTAAGGTAATAGGTGTAATGTTTAAGTTTTTCAAAATTGTTACATAACGTGACGTTTGTTGTCCCTTTTATAAGAATACTATTTGGATTTATGTTGGCCTATATTCCACGTGGCTTCAGATTTTTGTTCTATTGCTTCCTCTTGTATTTGGAAATGTAAGGGAAGTCTTCTCTGAGGGGTAAAGTATGACATGCTACCTACGGGTTGAGACTGGGAATATCCTTTTCTAACCATGCGAAAAAATTATGGTTTCTCAGCAAACATTTTGTCAAAATATTACACATGGGTTCTGACATATCGGCCCCTATTATAATGGTTTTTAACGGGTCTCCTCTTACGTAGATAGTAACAAAATTGTTAATAGATTCAGGTCTCTCAATTTTTTTGTGACTTTTGATGATGTGGTCTTGTCGTCTTCACCAACTTCATTTAGAAACGTTTCTTTTGCACATAAATTTAACTTTAATGCTTCCTCATGTTCTTAGTTTATGAAAGCTCCAAAGATTTGAGCTCTAAAAGATTTGACTAATTTTGGTAAAACAAGATGCCGATCAAGTTGTTAAAATATGTGAAGAACAACATGTCGAACAAAGATGTCCTACCATGAAGAGTCGACATCTTGGACTATTACTATTGGATCTTATTAAATTAGTTCCAAGATTTAAGGAGCGCTTTAGAAGTGGATCAAGGAATATTTTAACAGAAGATTCGAAGCCCATAGATAGTTGAAGTCTATAAAAGGAAGACTTAGACCTAGGGAAAATTAACTAAACCAGGTGTAACAAATTTAGAAAGAAAAAAATAAGGGTTTCGGGTATTGAAAATTGAGTACTTTCTTATTTTTTAAATCACTCTCTGTATCAATTTGATGCACTATGGTAGACATAGTTGTTTATACAAATTCATAAGCCTTTAGGTAATGAATCGTGTATTGTTCTTGGATGAAGATTTGAAGTAAACCCAAGTATGTTTGTTAGTCAAGAGTCTTGGCTGAACTTTATTTGAAGGGTGTGCCTTTCAAGTAGCTTGATGCAGTCAACATAGGTTGTGATTGTTAAATATCACTTAGGGGGTTTAGGAAGTGAGATGTCAATTTCTCATATTTAGGATATTCCTAAGTAGAAGTTGCATTGGGTAGGGATTAGGCGATAAGTTGTAAACGAGGGAGTTTAGCTTTGAACTAATACTAGTGATAATGGACTTCCTTCCTGGCTTGGTAGCCCCCAGAGTAGGTGTTGTTGTACATCGAACTAGACCATCATATTTTTGTGTTATTATCATTTTGCATTATTCAATTTTGTTTCTTAATTGATTAATATGTCGTATAAGATGTTGAAATATCTATTATGACTTTGAACTAATAAGGTTTGTATCAGTCTGTTGTATTATGTCCATGTGATGTTAAGCAGAGATCTTTGTCTCAACATGTGTTAGGACATTGTTATTTGGATACCATAATTTCAATTGGTATCAGATCAGGCATCCTGTTCTATTCTGGGTGAGATCGGGGAAGATACTTTGTGGTACTTTGGAAAACAAAGGATTGAAGTGTTATTTGGAGCTACTGATGTGGTTGTGATGTTATTTGTGATGAGTTTTATTTTTGCTGCATGTGCCTCTATTGTGTAAACCCGAGGTGGTCAGGTTTGACTTATCTTCTGGAGTTCTGTCTTTCCTTGGAAGAGTTGGATGCCTACTCGATGGTTGCTATTAAGGATATCTCTTCTGTATGTTGTCCTATGAGATGTTCTTGACATCTTTTATGGAGTCTGAAAAGTGATGAAGATTCTAGCAAGATGGTGTAATTTTTCTCTAAAAGTATAAGATCAACAAGGAGGAATCTAAAAGGATGAGAGTGTTTTGATTCTTTCACACTTTTATCGGTGTATGATGTCTTACCAAATGTTATGACATTGTACCTACCTTATGAACTTGGTCAATTTGTGTTGTTGTTTGGATGATCTCTTGAAGCAGGAGTGAAGGTTATCTATGACAATCTGATTGATGGTTCTCTCTAAAGTTGTCATCAATGGTACTATAGTGAGATGATGTGTCTTCTGAGTTATAAGTTCGATTTATTTTCAAGCCTATA